CCTTTCCAGCCAATTTCCTGCTACTTATAAGGTTGGGGAAACCTGCAGTCAGCTGAGACTGAAGAAGTCACCTGGATGAGTGACGAAACTTTTCTCCCACTGAAAACGTCCAGATGAACAGAATCAACCTTTGGTAATGTCGACTTTCCTCACCTGCAAAATTTCGTTTTAAAATTGCAGTAAATTTACAGTGAAACACTTTGAATTATGATTAACCTTCAAATATTATGTCTTCCTTCTTTTTCACTAAATAACAGTGAAGCAGGCCTCACCTGGCCACAAAAGCATTTGTCAGTCAATTGTTCCATTGATTTTTGAACATCTGAAAGGTAGGGGGACTACGCCGTTTTATGCTATACAGCTCATGCATAACTTTTGTAAAACCCCTTAAATTAAAGCTGAAAGCTTTCACTTGAGTAACATATTGATTTATGGAGTGATTTCCACCGTGGTGCTGTTTAAAGGCAAAGCTTGGTCTTTGCCCCAAACATTCTGCAGGGCGCTGTTTTTGATCCCAAACGATTGATGCTCGTTATAATGTAGACACAACCTTCAAGGGTAGTTTTAATAAAGTGCCTTTAGAAATGTGCAGATTTGACAACCCAATTCAGCATCACACATATTTAGAATTTCCATATTTACACAGAGAACAGAATTGAAAATGAGCTGTTGCACTTTGTTTGCACGTTTTACTTTACGACGGTGTGTGGGAAACATATCCTCACGTTCATCACTTTTTAATTATTTTACATCTTTGTAGCTCAACTGCAATAGGGTCCGCGCGAGACTTATAGCGATGACAAAAACAGTTTGCTTCTTTTTCAGTGAAATTAAAGAACTTTTCTAACTTCTGATTGAATTCACGACCTCTCGTCAGGACCAATAATCCTCAAGTGTATTCGCCTGACTCTGTTGGACTCTATCAGATTTGATCATTCTTTGAAAATCATTTAGTGCTTTTCCACAAGTCCGTTTTAGATCCATGGAAAGAGGTATTTGTGTTATTTTGTTCCTTCTCTTGTGTTTTTGAGGAAACAACATGTTAAATACACCTCAGTAGCAAAATCAACGCGTCCAGTGTACCAGTTAATTATTATAAACTTCATAAATTCGGCATTTATCATAGACCTATTGGAGTTGATTACATGATGTAGATGATTTTAAGTTCCCATCATGTGTCTGTGTATTGTTAGTTCTTCAAGGTTTTGTTTTGTATCTAAAACTACATTTTGTTTACTTGATTTTCCTCCTCAGTACAGAGTGTTGTGTTTATTTGTATTTGTAACTGATTTGTGTTACTTCCTTGTTGTTTAAACCCTTGTCTTCCTTCCTGTCATGCCTCGACAACTTCGCCTTATTTCCATCCACCTTCTGCAACTAGATGAGATCACACTCCACCACACATTGCTCAGTATACTCTTTCACCAGCTCCACGCTCAGGGTGTTGTGGCAGAATTCAGCCATGGCCTTCCAAAGCGGTGGGTCTAGGAACATCTGGCACATCACGTGACCCTTCAAGGTGGCAGTATGGCGCTGCAGGTGGTACAAGAACTGCTGTCGAGCCAGGGCGAGGTCTTTACCAAACATGTCGATGTTCAGGTAATACCTGGTTAAAGAAAACATCATGACTGTGTGAAAACAGTTTCCCATTCTTAGCAGGATGATTGTAAATGCAATGACCATATTATAGAAACAACACGTTCTCATCCCAAAACGTAACGTTCGACGCCATGTGACAAATCGTCGGTATGTTACGCAGTCGGAAACATGAGAACCATTTGGAATGAAACATGTAAATTTATTTTGCTTTCTCGTCATTAATCGCTTTGGAAACACTATCTAATACAATTAAGACTGTGGTTAAGGTTAGGGCTGGAATGTGTGTTATCGCTGGGAGTGTCATTCCATCCACAATCCGGTGCATATCATAGGAGCAATGGGACGTGACTAGGGATGGGTACCGGTATCCGGTGCCATGATGGCACCGGTTCTGACATAAACGGTAGTAACCAGACCGAAAAACAGCGCACATTTCGGTGCTTTATTTCGGTGCTTTTTTTTTCTGAGCTGTGATACACTTTAGATTCTAGCCAATCATTTTACGTTTCCGAGAATAGTAGGCGGGTCCAGGTACGTACGTTCTTTTAGAGCAGAGCTACAGATTAAAAATGCCCAAGGCGAAGCGGTCAAAGTCTGGCTGTACTTCACAGCAAAAGATGCAAACTCAGCAGCTGCAACAAGTGCTTTAAGGTGATACTGTGATACTGTCAAAGGAGGTAACACCTCAAATCCGATGAAACACCTGGCGACGCATAGCGTTTTTTTAAAAGCCGAAAAATGCGCCGTATTTGATAGCTTGCTGCGAGACCTCACACCGAGCACATCTACTGCGGGTGTGGTGCCTGTTATCGGACCTGGAGTTTGCAGCATCCCCCAAGAACCCGAAGAGTAGAGTCCTGGCCCCTAGCCCTGCCAGTGTAGCAGAAATGATGAGGATGATGATGCAGCAGCAGCCGTTATTCTCTGCGTGAGTAGCTTAATGTTGTTCGTGTATAATTTACGTTGAGTAGGCTAACCGCGTTATTACATTAATGCATGTAAGGTGAACTAGCAAACATCATCATAGCTACATGAGGCTGTCTTCTTGTTTGATGGCAGATACTCTCTTCACCCTGGCCAAAAAGGCTAAAATGACCAAAGAAAAAGTGGAAAACAGTTGAACATGAGAGGTTTTTGGACAAAATTTGTGTTTTTTCCATTGTTTAAGCACTGTTTCCAGTCAAGAGTGATACCATAAATCCCCTATATCTGCAGAAAAGGCTAACATTGTTATCTTTTTACAAAAAAACAGCTGAACATGAGAGGTTTTTGGACCAATTTTGTGTTCTCCATTCTTTAAGCACCGGTTTGAGCACCGTTTAAGCACCGGCACCGTTTCAAAAGTACCGGTTTGGCACCGGTATCGGATAAAACCTAAACGATACCCATCCCTAGACGTGACAAATCGTCAGTATGTTACGCGTTGGGAATAAGAACGTTCTCTATAGAAACTATCTGTACCATGTAGAAAACAGTGAATTTCTTGTGCTCCCTACTGATACTATTAAAAGTTGCTATTATAGACAATGGTTCGTGTTGCTGTCAGTACACTTGCTTCAGCAACATCCATTTAGTCTTATCAATAAATGAAGAAGGAACATTTACCAGTCATCTCCAATGGGGACCCTGAAAGGGAAGGTACAGAGGCTGGCCACAGTAGGATTGGACATATCATCCACCATCCAGTCAATCTCCTTCTTTAGTAGGACTGCCATGTTACTGGGCAAAAGCTTGAATGGCTGCCAGTCTTGAATGATGGTCGCGTTAGGGAGGACCCCGTGCATCAGGTCACTGTTTAAGTAGAGCTGCTGGATTGCTGTATGGTCCAGACGCACTGGAGGAGGACTGGAGCAAAAGGTGGACAAAGTGGATTCATTGTCTCCTTCTAGACCAAATTCAGAGAGATGCAGCTTGAGGTCTTCGGCTCTGAAGCGCATCAGCAGGATTCCCTGGAGAGAGAAAAGGCAGCATTGAAAGCATGCGAACATCCCAAAAAGGCTCATTTAACATCAGGACAGATCAAAACATTTATTTACTCTACCTGCTTAGTTATGATGCGGTACTTTTCAAAGTCCTTTGGTCCAAGCTTATCATCACGGGTCAAGCGGCATACTTTGACCTCTGGATACCTAGATTTAACCAGCTCAGCACAAAAGCGCAGCAGAACACCTGCCACGCCCTTGCCCCTTTCCTGGGGGGCAACACGGAGACCTTCCACCAGCATGGTCTCCCCATCATCGATGACACAGACAGACTCCAGAGCAATCTACCAAGCAATCAAACAAAGGAAGATAACAGACAAGAAATTATAAGCCATCACGCTGACATGGATACCTTTAATTACTTATTTATCTAAGGCTACGTTTACACTGCAGGCGAAAGCGCATCAAATCCAATTTTTTTGACCCTATGCGACCCATATCCGATCATGGTGTGACAGTGTGAACGGTACAAATCCGATATTTTCAAATCCGATCTGGGTCACTTTCGTATGTGGTACTGAATCCGATACATATCTGATGTTTCAGAAAGCGGCTGCTGTTTGAACGGTCATGTCGCATTAAATCCGTCTTTTACGTCACTGACACAAGACAGACGCCAATTATCAGTGCCGGAGAAGTGCCCGAGAAGCGCCCGAGAAGACGTCGCGAACGCTTCCTGGCCATCCCGTGTAGATGTCAGTGAAACTGTTGGGAAGACAACGTTAACATTTTATTTGTTCTGTATAATCTGCAGATTCTGACAGAAATCTGCAACTATCCTTTGAAGCAGCGCTCCTCTAAAACAGCAATAAGGATAATTATTAGGTTATTTACATTATTATGTAAATAACAAAATAATTGAAAGCAAAAATTGGGAAACGTAAAGTCCGAAGTCTTTATATTAAGGGCCATCAGTCAAACATACTGTTGCTCTGGGTCTAAACAGAGCGCGTTGTGTGTGACGTCTTCTTTTGCGCATGCGGGCCGCTTTGAGCGTTCACACTAGAGCGCGTTTGCTGTCGCATTTTATCTGTAGTGTGAACGAGCAGACAAAAAAATCGGATTTGAGCATTAAGACCTGCAGTGTGAACGTAGCCTAAGGGGCCAACTCTGCTAGTTTGTGAGGAAGTCTAGTTGCCGGTTGTTTTACTCAAGCTCATAGTAGCAAGTTTGGCGGTTCGTTAATAGGAGAGATAATTTACTTTATTATGTGCTCGAATCAACAAACAGCATTCAGATATATGTTTTGTTGTGTTTTATATGTATAGTAGATGTATATGTAGACCTGCTGAGGTTTCAGGCTGGCTGCATCAGGGTGATGCTTTACAGCCATTTATCCAGTGAACTGAACTTTTACTACTGAGTGAACTTACCACTTTTCCATGTTTGCGTGCCAGTATAACTGTACGGTTGGTTTCCTGCAGCCAGTTAGTGTATCTAGTAGGTAGATAGTCAAGGCCTCCATAGATGTCCTGACTCATAGCCATGATTTCATCAAAGTCCTCCTCAGTTGCCACAGTAAACTGAAGGCCTGCCTGGGACAGGGCCTCTGGGAGCTGGGGCATATTCAGGCTGGTATCAATCTTCATCTTGGAACAACTGATAAGATAGAAATGGAAGAGATATTATTGTGGACTATATTAAATTATATTTTGTGCTTCAGAGCGGGATGTCATTCTCGCGTAATCAAAAATAATTAGCCACAGATAAGTAAATCATTTTACCATTTTCTGAAAGCAGAATATAACAGACCTCAAGGTGTATGGCTGGTGAACCAAGTTCACCGATTCCATCCTTAGCAAAGGGGACAAAACGTTAAACACTTTAGTATTAACCACACCAAGAGACACACATTCATTATTCAAAGGCACTAACCAATAGGAAATCAAACATACATGAGAAGAAGAATTAGGAGCTGATTGCTTCTGCAAATTGGATTGCGGGTTTTTGCATTAGTGGAGAGGCCGTGCATGTAAAATAAGAGGTTGTATCTCGGACAGAGGCCAGAAGAGTCCTTGTTCATTAACCAAATTATTTAACAGCACATGTTTTCTTTCTCACAACACTGTGGGAAAGCCCCCAGTTTGGTCTATCGTTGGTTCCATTCAAATACAATTAGTGCTCAAATGCTTTATGGATCACGTCTTTGATGTTAAGTAACACATTTTTCAATTCAATCCAATTTTACTTATATTGCAATAGTTCACAAAAACAGGTACTTTATATTAGAGAGAGAACCCCAGAAATCAGCTGAGCAAGATTTTGGTGTTGATCGGGAGAAAGAACTCCAGTCGAAGAAAAGTTCAAGGAAGAGCCTGCATAGCATCAAATTATTATAAAGGAACCTAAAAAGTGCAGATTTGGGGATGAAAGGTTTTGGCCATTGCAGCACAAAATCCAAGATGAGCATGTCCTACTATGCATAGTAGGACTTAAAGACAATAAAGCCTTTCTCTTCAAATTACAGCCCCACGTCAAAGACTGAAATATCCCTCTTTTACTACCAATGAAACATCAAGGAATGTGAAGAACAATAGCTGCTAAGAGGTGATCATGAATTGGGACGTTTGCCTTACATCAACCTAACATCAACCCCCTCGGTAGACATACCATTGCATGTCAATTAGTGTAGCAGTGGGTGGCAAATACAAGACTGTGGCAACAGCAAACCACAAGGCCTCAAACACCGAACCACAAAGGAAAAAAGAGGGATTTTGCCGCATGTTCAGAAGACACAGATTGTGCAACCTCTGAAAGAACGTGATTGGAGCAACTTGGTCAACAATCTGCCAACGGTTGCCATGAAAGAAGTGTTAACGGGGTTAAGATGCTTCACAGTACAATAACATACTCGCAGCAGAGTACAGCCAGAGGCATAGACTGCACATCAAACCACTAGCAACTACACTGAAGTATCTTGTTGCCACAGAGTTATGACCCCAACTACAGACACAGAAGTAGTGAAATCCTGTGGTTGTGAAAACTCAAGTCCAATCCAACCACAGTTGTGGCTGAATTACAGAAGGGCAAGCCGAGAAGATGGCTCATTTTTAATACTGTTTAATATTCTAAACCTCATAAGTTTGTAGTGGCTGTCCTGTGTGGACCACATTACTACAACTTTTTCAAGCTTCATCTTATCTGCATCACACATGTTGGCCGAGGAAACTCGTCTGTTATGAATCTAAATTGGTGAAGATCATTTACTGGCTAATGCTCTCTGTGTTCCCATCTGAAGCTTAGATCCTAACTGATCTCAGAGCAGTGAAAGCAGATTCAGCGGCAGCTTGCCAGGCATGCCATCATGTGCAAGCCACCAGGATAAAAAGCTGCTGGCCTCTCAGCTTGCACCGCTCCAGTCATTGTTAACAGGAGATGGACAAAAGCGTCAAAACACAGAGAGCTGCAGTTTTCTATGAGATTGAAAGAAGCACAGTTTTCAGTGGCAACAACCAACTGTGGCCACAACATGGCAGTAATGTTAACTGACAGGTTAATATTACTGACAGCGCTGTGTGAGATGAAAGGAGATAGATCGCTTTACTTTGGTATGTTTTAATTTATGTCTATTTTTAAACATTAGACTTTTGTATGACAGAGTATTGGGGTCACATTAAGAAAAACATATTATTGATCATTCTGAGGATAAAGTCAAAATGTGGAGATTATACAGTTGTTTCGACAGCTGAGTTTGTGAAATTGTACTTCAGAATCGGTTTTAGTAACGAGGAAGGACGTCATTTCTCTTTTAGCACATAAACACGATGAAAAGATGGTGGTGAAGCTACATGTGGTCAGACGGGGAAACCACACAAACCTGGTCGAGTGGCTGATTTGCTTCACTGACTCATGTAAACGAGTCATTTTGTATAACGACTGTGACGGTCTGTGTTGAAACAACAACTGTAATCTGCATGTTTCAACTTTTTCTCAAAATATTATTTAAACTTTTTTTTTTCAAAATATTGAATAAATTGAATAAATTTCGACTTTATTCTCAAAATGATCAATAACATGTTTTTTCTTAACGTGGCCCTAAAACTCTGTTGTACTATCGTCTTGCAGTATCACAAATTCTGAAATGTACAGTTTACAAATGAAGAACAGTTGCAAACTTTGCAAAAACAACCCATTGCAGACTACAACTTTTCCACAGTAAGTTTTAACCTCAACCTCAAAGTGACAAAATCACACACAAAGAAAAAGAAATGACATTTGATTCAATATCTACCATTACAAAAATCGATATTTATTGTTCAATGTGAATACATAAGAATGCCATAGGGGCACTAAAGGAGAAGCAACAACCTGTCCACATATTTCAGCATCTGCCAAACACAAAGCTGCTATTTTCAGCGATACATTTGTCTTCAGCCTCCACACACCTGCAGTACATAATTCTGTACTACTAGAATTGCTCACACTGAACACTTGTAATTATAAAATGTCAAAAATGTACAAAAATGGCCCAAGAGAATCAGATAACCTTCGATGAAAATTTAAAGAAAAGTAAAAATATATGGATGAAATGTATAAAGACGTAAATCTGAGAGAATCCTGGAAAGTAAAGGAATGCTTAATTTGTACGCTAACGATAAACAGTGCCTGTAGTAAAACGTTGCACCATCATTAGGTCGTGTTTCTGTGTAACAACTGGATGTTTGTTTGTGGATTCATGTTCTAGATTTGAACCCCTCAGAACTTTGTGTACTCTGGTTTCTTCCATTAATCCAAACACATTCATGTTGTTGGTGATATTTTTAATTAAGGTTGATGCAAAATAATTATGTCTTTAATGGAAGGCAGACTAGAGAGACTGAGACTAAAGCATGATATACATATCAAGCCATATTAAACAATGTAACCTTTAAAACCCAATTTGTTGTTGTTGTTATTGTGGCTGAACTGGGTTATTATAAGTGTGTTTGTCTGGGTTTGTGATGTGCTGAAGCACTGGAGTGTGGACAGTTCATTGGGGAATTGCAGGCTAACACAGAAATGCTAAACATGTTCCTACAATCTATTAATCGGCCATGTGAGCTGCAAGGGCATTTGCAGTGAAAACACTGTCTGGTCACAACAGATTGAAATGTACACATTGGGGACGCTGGTATTTTTCCACCATGCCTTTGAAGCTGTGAGATGAGCTGCCATGCTTGGCTGAGTATCCTGGTCCTACCAGTGAGAGGAATGCTATTTTATTTTTGTCTTTCTGTCTCTCAAACACTTCTCTCGTGCTCCTAATGGTTCTCTCTCAATGGCTGGCAGTGTTCTCCAGACAAAATGGAATTGGGCAACACTGACTGACCATCTAACGTGCAACTATCAGTGCGGACCTACGTCTAGTTTTTGTCCGAGCTGCCCAAAGGAGCTTTAGAACTGGTGGTATGAAAACACAGCGGGAAAAAATGTAACCAAAAGATTCACAAAAACAAGGACCAGACCATGATGTGACTTTATTGGTGAGTCATGAAGAACACGCATTATTCAGTAATTTCAGTTCAGCAAAAAAAAGCCTGCTGTTGGAAAATGCAGGCAGTGTGCCTTTCACTCACAGAGCAGTAGTAGTGGTTATAATAAACATACACAGCATTTTAACCAAGGTGACAATAAGTTGAAAACACTATTCCTGGTATTAAATGTCTTACACTGGTCATCTTTGATGTGAACCACAGTGTGAACAAACTTTATGCTTTTATGCATCAATGATGCTTAACAGTGTGTACAGCTGCAGCTGTACTGAGGTTTAACCACTGTTGGGAGTCTCTATGTGTTATTCACTCAATGCACGATTTTAAAGCATGTATAGGCTGTCACATGCACAGGTGGCAAAAACTGGAAAATGCTGAAATGCCACCGAAGCACATCGCCCTCCATAAAGGCAAGGACAGCAATAGCTATCATTCAGTTTTATTAGTGCTGTCAGCGCTAAGCTTGTTAAAATGCCGTTAACGCCGTAACCACAAATCTCCGTTAGCGAGTTACCGTGGCATCAACGCGTTAGCGCGGTTAGCTCGTTGTACATTTCACAAATGAAGAAGAGTTTCAAACTGCGGTCATGGTGTTAAAGTCATTTTGACGAGATTGATGCTGACAGCACACATTTTTATACATTTTCTATGTGTGAACATATTCAGCTCTTTACAACGAGCCATGTGCTCAGCACACGTTGTTGTTGTTGTTATATGTTGTAAACATGCAGCCTCCTCATTGCACTCAACTGAAAAAGTACACTGACATTCTTTAACAACCTATGAAAAATGTTAGCTCACATGGTCAGTACACTCAAGTCACATACATTCATAATGAACATACCATCTTTTTTCTCTGCTAAGAAGCAAGAAAATATATTTGGAATATGTTTCCAGCTTTCTTTTTTTCTGTTTTGCACCAGTTAAACACACAATTGTTTGGGCCATCACACTGAAAAGAACCCCAAATAGTACAAAACTCAAAGGAACACACCATGGATTCAGTTGGTTGGTCAAGTGATGACAACATGGACACCAAAATGATTCATGTCTCCTGGGTGCATCTGTGGCTCCAGTGCTTCATGCCAGTAGCCTCCATGTTGATGCAAAGACATTAGCATATCAGTCTGTTGCATGATAGCAGGATCCGTTTCTCCCACGCAGCCCCGCCTATACATGAAACACACCATTGACACAAAGGCACCAGAAAATCATTAGTTTGTAAATCTGTCAATAATCATTCTGTGCTTGTTGTGATGACATTAAGACAACTGTGTCCTGCACTCAAACTATGTCACCTACACTGGCTGGTTCTGTGTAGGATTGATAACAATTCAAGTAAATGTATAAAGTAACTGCACATTTCTATGAATCATAGCCACAGCTAAACTGTGGAGAGCCTCGTAATCTGGTCTAGTCTAGTCTACAGAGATTAATGTATTTTAATAAAAGTTATTAACAAAGGCAGTTGCATATTGACACTGACGTTCCTGTCCCTCAACAGACAAAGACTAGCGCTCTCATTTTTGTGGTTGTGAGGTGACTATATAAAGAAAAAACATTCCAACAGCACAGCCAGTGACCGAGCAGTCTCAAAGATCAATAGTGATTTCTATCGTAAAACTATGAGAAGTGATGACCTGAAACTTCGCCTTCACAAATTATATTAAATGCAAC